GACTATAGTTTACATTAGTAGGTAGAGCGCTTTAATAGCTTCTTTGTCTACCACAGCCTCACAAAACAATTCAAGAGGTGAAACCTTGGGTTTAACGTTACTCTCTTGCACACCTAGTCAGTAGTAGGAAGAAATGGCACTGCTTCTTTACCAGAGTGAAAATTAATGGGGAGATTTCCCCTTCCCAGAAACTCTGATAGACCGGATTTTAAAAAAAGGGCTTAGCTCCCAGCTTTTTAAGTGCTTTTTGATTAGTTTAATGGGAACAGTGAAATTCAAAATCGAAAATGCTGTTCTCTTGAAAAATGCAGTGCAAGTTCTAGCACACGATTAGATAACATCCACCTTAGAGAAAATGTTTATATATGGCTCACCTAACTCATATTTGAGCACTTCATAGTTTTTTAGCACTACGAGAATAACACTAGGAGAAAGGAAAGCATTATTTTGTATTCACTTACTGGGTGAAGGCCAGAGAGAGTAGCCAGCCTGGCTTAGAAGCAAGCAAGAGAATTCACAGGGGCAGGAATTCCGGTTGCATCTCTGAAATGGTGGTAGGTGCCCCCTTATCACGGGGCCATCCTTCCTCCGGTCAGTGATAAAAAGGCTCTGACTCATGCTCCAGGCACTTGGGGAGCTTTGGCCTGGGGCTGAGCACTCTGCAAACTTGGTGCACCGTGAGCTCACCGGCTCATACACCAGACTGAAGCAGAGCGGCCGACATGTACAGCACGTCCCTTTCTGCTAGCAGGGGGTATTGAGCGCTCCAGCCAGGTCAGCTGGAGCTTGGCACCAAGTTCTGATATATACTTTTTTTTTTTTTTAATGGAAATTAAAACCCAATATCTAGGACTATAATAGAGCAGCATGAATAGTGAATTGTAAGCTTGTTCTTTTAATGCTTGCTCCATATTTAGACCCTGTTTTCATGTCTTCACAAAAGCCTCAAAAGATCAAATGAAATTGTGATATGCTCACTTCAGCCTATCCAAACTTATTGCAGGGAGACAGTTAGAGCATCAGTTAAGAAGACAATGTAACTGCAACTGTTTCTTACAGGTAGATACTGAAAGCAATCTTAAATATACCACGTGAAGATCACACAGTACAGCAACCATGAATGACATTGCACAGAAGACTGAGGTATGTACTAATTTTAAAATAATGAGAGTAATGTACTAATTTACCAGTGATGCTTGCAAAAAAGACGAAGAGCAATTACAAACACTTGTAAGAGACATTTAATGGATGATGGCTAGTGGCACAAAGCTCATAATCCCAAATGCGCGTCTGTTTTATGTTCTTACATTCTTTCTAATCCAGTCTATAAAACCAATTTCTGTCCTTCTGTTTCAACTTTCTTTTTCTTATCTTCATTTCTTCTTTATCTTCACCGAGATTCTGCTTTCTTCATCTAAACCCGTCCAAAAATCCTATGTGCCCAAGCTTCACAAGGGTGATGTAAAGGATAAATTTGAAGCTATGCAGAAAGCAAGGGAAGAAAGAAATCAAAGGCGATCTAGAGATGAAAAGCAAAGAAGAAAAGAACAATATGTTAGAGAGAGAGAATGGAACAGGAGAAAGCAGGAGGTTATTTTCTTTGCAAATATTTTGTGTGATGTTAATATTCAATGTGATATGTGACAATATTTTCAAATTATTTTAAGACAATAACAGTGGAATTTTATCTAAGGTGTAATGACAGCTTACTTTCTGTATTTAATCAACTAGATGAAAGAACTGCTTGCATCTGATGAAGAAGATGATGCAAAATCCTCTAAAGTAGAAAAAGGTTATGTTCCAAAGCTGATAGGTAAGAGAGGCAAAACTTTTAAGAGCCACACAATTCATTAGTGTTAAGTATTAGATCTAATAACTATTGAATTGTGCATTTCATATTCACAGGAACTGTTAAAGGCAAATTTGCAGAAATGGAGAAGCAAAGGCAAGAAGAAGAAAGAAAAAGAATGGAAGAGGAAAGAAAGCGCAGAATTGAACAGGATATGATTGAGAAAAGGAAAATTCAAAGAGAATTAGCAAAAAAAGCACAGGAGGTATGTTTATCTGATCAAAATAGTAAGGACATAATTATAAACAATAAAACACAAGTACAAAGTTTCATATTGATCAGCAGTTCCAAAGATTTGGTCTCAGGTTTCTGACGGTAGCGGTCTACAAGCAATATGCTGGATAGGTTGGAAGCAGGGAAGAAAATAAAGACAAAGATTGTCTGAATAATATTTAGGGTAGCAGTGTTTTAAAACACAGAGCTTGAATTATAGATGAAACCAGGCAAGCATAAACCTGGTAGGAATGTGAATAGGGTACGATGTCATATGCATAGAAGAGTTTATAGAATTCAATAAGCTAATTTGAAAATGTTTTTTATATTGTACCCACTCTTATTTTAGGCAATTCTTGCTTTTAAATTAGTGAACACAGTTCACTAATAGATACATTGAGGCAAGTAAATAGAAATGGGAAAAAGGCATAAGTACATAGAAAGGAGAAGATGCTAATTCAGTTAAAATCACGATGATTCAGATCATGTTTTATTCTTTTATCACTTCATGAGTTGTTACATACGTATGTGAACAGGCTCCCACTTTTGCTGATACCAATGAAGCAAGTTGTCTTTGCAGAATTCTGTATTTGAGTAACATATTTAGCTCCTTGTGTAATTTTCTTCAGTGTTGCAAATACTGCAGTGAGAGTAAACATCTAATGACAGACCAGAACCATAAGCAGATTTTACAAGAGATAGTAATCTGGGTTAATCTAGGTTTGTTTTTGTTTTAAGAGGAGTCAGTTTTCAACAAGGACTTGAACAATATTTTCTACTAAGACTTTTAAATGGTTAAAACTGTACTTTCAACAGGAAATGTATCTGGTTAAATTTAATGTACTTTGAAAGGCAGAAGTACCTAACGTAGAATTTTACAAAGTATGTTAGTTCTAGAATGTAGCTATAATACAGTGAAAAAACATAGGAATAGGCTTTTTGCAGGGAGTTGAGTCAAAGACAGACAATATCACTTGGATCAGAAATAATGAGTTTGCTTTAACTTTTTACACAATTATGGAACGTTCACAGGAGTTACAGACATCTAAGGTACTTTCCTCCGTTTATTGCCAAAGTGCTAAGTGTGCCTTCCAGTATGATATGTTGGTGTCATGTCCCCCTGCTGTCCTCCCATTAGCTAATCTATCTATCTGAAGCGTTGCAACATAATGCAAAGGTTCCATCATTAAAATCTCTTGTGAATGTAAGTGCTACATACATATCACTGATATAAAAAGAATTTCCAGTTTTATGTTTGCAGATCTAAGGCAAAGAGCCAAAGTAATGTAATCATATGAAATTCTCATTTAATAGATTGATGACTTAAACAATACGGGAACTGAATCAGGAGCAGAGGTAATCAGATTTTTTTAAAGAAACATTCACCTACTTTTTATTCACTTTGTTTTATTATGTTAGCATGGGCTGGGAAAAAAAAGGGCACACAAATTTTTAATTAAAATTCAACCAAGGAGCTAAGAAATTTTTAAAGCATACAGAAGGAGGTCAGTGTATTTAAGTAAGTATGAAATAGAGTCTAAAGTGTGAATAACATGTGGTCAGGAGAGTTAGACATCTAAAACTTAAATATTCAGAGCCACCAGAATGATTTGAGGCCTACTGGCAATGACTCTCTAAATTTTCTAGCTTTGAAAAGTATTATTTGAAAGCTCTTTGCCTTAAGCTTGAAATTAAAAGAGGATTCTGTCAATATACAGAGGTTTGAACACCTTAGTCAACTGCTGAGTCAATTCCTTTCCTTCTTTTTAAATGAATTTAACATATGGGTTTGGATTTTAAGTCTTGCAAATAAATATTTTATTTCAATAAAGCTAGGCCCAAAGGTCCTATCGTCTTCCACTAGACAAGTGTGCTTCTACTACAGTTTTGAGAAAAAAAATAACATTAATGTTAAGTTATTTGACAGTATCCTTCTTCGTCATGGCATTTTGTGCAAAACTTGGGTGAAATATATTATGGCAAATAAGTTGTGAAAATAGTTTTGAAGCGGCAAAATGCTTCAAAAACAAGTTAGTTTGACAAATTACATATTTGTATCTAGAATTACAAGCTTATCCCAACCACAGTGTATCCTTTACATAATAAACGTAAGACTGGAAGTGGAGAATAGCTACATTTGTTAGGTATTCAAATTTTCACCTCTTCTCCAAACCACCAATATTTATAAATAGCATTTAATGAAAATATGTAAAGAAATTAAGGAGTTTGCTGGCAGTCACGTTTAAAATGTAACTCATTCTTGACGTTCTTCAGATATTACAAGAAAACTAGTGACTGTCACAGGCAGATGAGTTTTATTCTTGTCATTAATACTCAATACAAATAATTCTGTTGGAAGCTTTGGTGCACACAGGTAAAAATGGCACTTTTATTAGAAATGAGTCTATCTAGAAGTCAAGCATTATCAAAATATCATAAATTATATATAATCTTTTTGGACAGGAAGGGGATGATTCACTGCTGGTTACAGTAGTGCCTGTAAAACCCACCAAAACACTTGGAAAAATGAAAGTAAACTTTGAGAACACAAGAAAAGAAAGAGCAGAACAAACACAGAGAGAAGATGAAGAAAAGAAGCTAAAATATGAGAAACAAAAACAATCCCTTAAAGAAGCCAAGTGCCTTTCACTTGTCATGGTAAACCACTCATCTAAAAATTTCTAGGAAATAAGGATCTATTATTTTAAGTAAAACTGTTTCATTTTTCTTACACAGGATGAAAACAAAGATAATGAAACACAAGAGCCTCTGTCTCCTGGTAAGCTGAAAGTAACATTTGAAGAACTTGAAAGACAAAGGCAGGAAAATCAAAGGCGGCAAGCAGAGGAAGAAGCAAGACAGCGTTTAGAAGAGGAAAAACGTGCCTTTGAGGAAGCTAGACAGCAAATGGTAAGTAGTTGTGAAATTCTGTAACAAAATGAACAAAACATAGGTTACACCTTCGCATTCTTTCCTGTATCTGATTATTCTTAATTCTTATTTCAATTTGTCAAGGAGTTTGAAAATTGTGTCATCACCCATTTTAAAATACATGTTTTTGGCCTTGGTTCCAATTCAATAACCATACTGGCGTAATTCTTTAGACCATCTTTAGTAAAACTAGGAAACTTATATTTTTAAATTTGCCAGCAAGCTTACCAGTTTTGATATATATGCTTTGTAGTACCTTGAAGTACAGGTTCTGCAGAAGAAAATTAGTTGTCCGTTTTGCTCTTAAATAGTACTTCAGATGTTTCGGTAACTTGTTTTCAGTGAAAACGTTCTGTAGTAACAGAACGCTATTTCTTGTTCCCATTATTTATCTTATAAATATGATACATAAATACATCAATTACAACTCTCCTCTTACAGAAATAGGGAAGACAAACATGTCAGCACTTTTGTATGTAGTAATATAAATAACTAATGTAGTAGCAATTACTAGATTAGTAATTATCAGAAACAGAACTCATCCTGTTTTGTATTACATGCAAAACTGCTTCCATATGTTCTTTATCAGAAGCCAGACTTATTTTAGATCGACTATAAATGTACCTCTCTATAGTGTGTTCTTTGATCGTACTAAATGAATCATATGCTTAGCATTAATATTAGCAGAAGATGCACCAGATAGACTATGTTGAAATCAGGAAAAACAGAACTAAACTATTTCCAAAAACATTCTTTGGAAGTTCTATATTTAAATATGTCTTTTCCCTGTACAGTCCTAATCATTATGACTTTGTTCATTCACATACAAGAAAGATTAGAGAGTTCTGGATTTTCATGTCTCATGAAATCTTTAAAGATTTTATTTCTTGAAATTTGTTAAACTTAAAAAGAGTAGTTTAATTATGAGTGAACATTCCTGGACAAACGGCTCAAGATCACACTCAAGATAACTGTATATTACAGTAGCCCTAACAAAAATGTAGTATTCTAAAAAACAGAAACAGAAATCTACAAATAACATCCCCTCCCCCCAAAAAACAGAACCCCCAGAAAGCTGAAACACTGAGATTCTCAATTGATCCAAATTGGGAGGGTTCTAGTTTTAGGTAGGTGCCAAATTTTTTTTCCATTATTATTTATTTATAAGTAAACTACTTAACCTTTTCCAAACAATAACCTTGACATTATGTCAATAATCCATTTTTTCTTTTTCTTTTTGGGGTAGGTGGGAGAAGGGAAGGGGAAGAAGAAAGGGTACTAGTGAAGGAGAAGAGGGAAGAAAAGGAAGGAGAAAGAACTTTAGAATTCTAATTGAAGTTTTGTTCCCATCTCCCACCTTCATGTACATGTATTTATTTACCAAGTAACATAGAAGAGTGAAAGCTGAATTTATGAATTCTGTATATAAAAAACAAAAACAAGACCCCCTTCCCCAGTGTTTCTATATCATGCAGTTTTAGCTGATATCAGTGGTTGTCACGGTTTGAAGTTAAAAGTTTTCTTAAAGGAACAGTTCAGCAGTTCAATTCTTCTAATGCCTTCTTTTTCCCCCTAGGAATTCCAAATATATAATTTCTGTAATTCCCTTTACTAGTCTGCCCAACATACCAATCCCATGGCTGCTTGCAGTATGCAGAAATCTGGAATATCAGTACCTCAGCAGTTCACAGTTAACTTCCTCCATTAGCAAATAAAATATTCCAAGATGTTTTCTAAGGATGGTTCTTTCTTTTATTCTTGATTGCAGTTTGCAAATCACAGGCTTCTCTTAGCAGATAGTGTCCACTGGAGACAAGCCACAGTGAAGAGATTGGCATATCTCAGTTCTTTCTTCACTGATGATTAAATGTCTAAGAAGAAAAGAAGCAAAAATGTCAGTTTGGACTAATAACAAACTGTTAATCAATTTAGCTTTTCTGTAAAACTCTACAGCATTTTTTCAATTCATAAGTAAGTGCACCAGGGAAAACAATTTATATGCAAATAAAAACACTCCAGGATAAAGGTCTATGAAAGTGATATCACGAAAGTGAAGAGACTGATTGTTGTTCACAGTCAATGACCCAACAACCCTGAAACCATAAAATAGGTAATTGTTTAGCCTTTTCCTGATAACTTGTTTTTTCTTTGAACCATGCCTTCAACCAAGAACTACAGAAGTTATGTATTGAATTCTGAACAATATTTCTCAAGGGAGTTGCTTCTCCCTCCCTCTGGATAAAACCCAAGACAAAAAGGTTTCTTATAGGAAGCAAGCTATTGATATATTTCCTCCCAGAAGAAAAAGCATTTATAGAAGATCAGAATGGAGTTCACAGAGTATTATTTAGTACAGAGAATATTTTTGTATTTGGATGGGGCTTTTCCATTTTTTTTTCTCTCCCTTCTCTAAAGATAAATGAAGGTGCTGATGATGAATCTGAAAATTCTATGAAGGAATTCCGTCCTAGTAAACTCAAACTCAGTTTTGAGCAGATAGAAAGACAGAGGAGAGAAGAGGAAAAAAGGAAAGCAGAAGAAGAAGCAAGACGACGCATAGAAGAAGAGAAAAGGGCATTTGCTGAAGCAAGAAAGAATATGGTATGGCATTTTGCTTAGTATATGTTTTAGTATTTTACTTGAGTCTCCACACTGAACTAGGAAAAAAAGCTCTGGGAAAAGATGCAGTTGGACATATGTGTTTTAATTCCTCCGTTAATTAAACTTATTAACAGGTATGGGGATTGAATCAAGTTAGTTTACCAAAACCCACTACAGAACACCCCCTCCTCACAGCAACACTAGAGAGGATACCAAATAATGTAATCAAAAATAGATATTGTTTCCAATTAATAGTGTTACGCTAGATGAAACAAACTCGGAAAACAAAATGCCTTCCCAAGGAAGTTTTTTTTTGTTTGATTTTGTTTAATGGCTTATCTTTCTTTAGCTCCATTTTTACTTCTCCACATTAATTTCCCTACCTTTAAGTGTGTCCACCAATTGGGAATTACTAGCTGAAGCATAATTAACACCATATTGAAAAAGTTCTGATTGCAAGTACAAATTCTATTGTCATCTGTGGCCTATTAGGAAGCAAAAAACTGAGAAGGCTGATTTTGATTTTTTTATATTTCCTTGCTTGTTCAGGGAAACATCAAAAGGCGGCAACTTACACTGAATTTACAGTTAGGACAGTTCTTAACAGGTTCTTCAGTCTGGAAATTACTTAGACAAATACAGACCCCTGTGATTATTCAGTAACTTCTAAAATTTAAACTTGATTTTTAATTGCATTTTTATTGTATATTTTTTGTATATTCTTATTGTATTTTTCATGCTTATTCCAGCAGCTTCAAGTTTTAGCAGGCTTTTGGGTAATAGCTAGTCTCTTATTTGTGGATATTAGGAAACTTGGTATTAGATTACAGAAATACCAGTTAAACTCAAAATTGTTAGTTTCAAAATCAAGTGCAAGACATACCATACAGAGCTGCAGAATAACCTGCTCACCTGGTGGTCTCTTTCTACACTTCCCCCTGTGGTTTTATTCAGAAAGACCAACAGCATGTCTAATATCGTTATTTTCTTCAGAATTAAAAGTAATGGTTGTGAAGCAGATTATAGCTTTGTATGGAAGATTTACACAGCTAACAGTGCTCCCGCTGACTGAAAATTAGGCCAAAGACAAGACCTCTACTCTGAAAGTCTGCCCAGACAAACTACTAGGCAAACTTATACTTGATATTGTACCAATAAGCAACAATGTGAGATAAGGTCTGTGATCTGTCCACACCTCCAAAAGAGGGAAAATAAATCAAAAGCTTAAACCTCTAGAAAAAACAAATCAATACCACCAAACATCTGCCATTACAATCTTTAGGAAGTCTGTTAACAGACAATTCAAGGAGAGCAAAGAAAGTACATGCTGTCTTCTGCTTTGTGCTGCCTTCTTGAGAATCTCTTTTTCCCTCAGTTTAGCATGAGGCTAAGTGTCCAAAAAAGGAACATTTCTTACAAGAAAAATTTCTCATGGATTAAACGGAGTTTAATCCTTTAGATGCAGCACAGAGTCTGCTGCTGCACTATTAACAACAGTGAAGATTTTCAGTAGTCCAAAAAGTTAACGGAAAAGTGTATTTTCAGCATATTCATTTGAAAATTGGCCTGCTAGTGCAGAGTTCATGTTCAGGATGCTAATTATCTATTGCGTATAACAAAGACAATCCCATCCTTTCCCTCCTATTCATCACATCTACACGCTGAAACAGATGTGCACAGATGCACTTTTGAGGGTTTTAAGAGGACAGTCATCTCTTCCAGAAGCACTAAAAGCTCACACGTAAACCTCACAATCTATTCTTATTTAAGCATTTAAAATAAGTAGTTTTTAGAATCATTTGCTTATTGAATTCAATTTTGAAACTTTATACACAAAAGCGATACCACTGCTAGAAACACAAAAGCCACTTTCACTTCCTTTTGAAAGGATCTCCCTACTTCATAGTTTCTTCTGCAAGATACATACTTCCACGCTTCCCACCAACTCAATCCCTTTCAGACTAAAGCATTCAGCTTGCATCACCACCGGTCTCTCTGTTGAAGAGACTGCATGAAGAAACCTTAGTGTGAACAAAAATCCTTTCTACCTTGTATCAATCACTGTTTGCCCACTGAAAATTGATTCACTGTGCTACCAAAAAATGACTATTACAGGACTGTTTCTTATTGCCATCTCTTAACCAGACTGCAGGAAAAAGAAAAAACCAAATAACATAGTCTTCCTTCACAAAACACAGCTAGAATATTTACTGAACTAACCACAAGGGTTATGCATCACACAGTTCTGCTGATTTTTTTTTTTTTTTTTTTCTCCCTGTGCTTTTAACGAGGAATAGGTTGGCTTACTGCCTTTTCATAGCTTACTAATACTGATTCAAAAAATATAAGGCAGATAGAAGAGTGATTACTCATGCATAGCTTTTTTTTGTTTGTTTACAAATAGGGGCATTAGTAAATTATGAATTACTGCTTCTGCTATTCACTTAGGTTCTACATTTTTCTGAAGAGATAAGCATATCAACTAATGCATTATCAGCAAAAGATTTTCATGTTTCTTCACTGCTTTTGCTACAGTTAGCCTCGGAAAAATGTGAAGCTATGCATATCCTATTCTTATTAAAGGAAATATTTTACTGCTTTATTTTTGACTCCACTTCCTGACAGTTTCGACAAATATCTTTGTATTATGTAAAACAAATGAAGAATGGAAGGAATTGTGGGCCTGAACTCCAGCTGTAAGCTTAACTACTCGTAGGAAAAATGCGTAGGAAATGTGTGGTGACTAACAGTAGGAGAGAGGTTGGGCCAAAAAAACTGTAGAAAGTGCTATGATTAAAAAAAAACAGCATGGGGCAAAGTCAGCAGCACAAGACAGCAGCAGAAACTAAGATGGCGTGAACAGCAGTGAGAAGTGGAAGTTACACAGGCAGTAAGCAACAATACATGGGAAACTGAAAAGCAAGTGCAAGAGAATGTTTTTAAAAATATGCTTGTGTATTTTCTCTTTCTTTATAAATCTAGCCAAGTAATTTTCTCAAATGAAAGTCTTGCTCGTTTAATCCTTTCCAGGATTTCGCTGATAACTACTATTGGGAAATTTAAGGCAAATTTGACACTGTAATGTTTGTCACAAGGCTTTTCAGAAGTATACTGATTTAATAGTGCCCAAAACGGTATGATCACTCAGTTCTAAATAGCTATCTGACCTCCTCTCACATTCTTTTATCTACAGACTTCCCTGCAGATTTGTTGACAGTCTCTGTTAATAGGATAAAAGGTGTTTACACAGTTACATGCACAAACACATATTTAAGACAGATTTTTTTTTTTTTTAATCAAGAAATTACTTTAAAAACCTGCGTAACTCAAAGACAGACAGTGGCTACCTGGCCATTTTTATAACATACCACCTAATGTCTCAGCGATGCTTCACTCCAACAAAATCAGTCTGGTGAGGTATTTGTTCTGACAGTTTCTGCCCTTGAAAATGATTACGAGGGCCTTTCCTCGGCCATAATATTTTCCTATGAACTGAACTACAAAAGAAGCAAACTGCTCATACACAGTACCCACCAAAGTCCAGCCCTGCTCTGTAGCCTGAGAAAAGGACAGGGAAAGAAGGAAAACTTTGCTGCTAGGTTGTACCAAACAATAAACTGACAACATAATTTGGTATATTCACTTGGTGCATAAGAAAAGTTTCTTGTATCCTACATTGTGTACGCATTCCTGTAGCCTAAATTCTGTTCTGCTATGCTTACTGGGAATACTAACATGTCAGAGTTAAAAAATAGGAACATAATGCAGGTTGCTTAGAAAAGAAAATTACAGATGTTTGGCCTGCAGTGTTAAGAGAAATGACATGTTTAAACACAAGCACTTTATCTAATGATAGTCTGTGAAGTAAACAGGAGTGGATTGCTTCAGGTACCAAAGCTACATTTAGAGGCCATCCCTCTCATCTTGCAGAGAGGACAGCATCTGTATGAACTTTTTTTTTTTTTTTTTTAAGTTTAGTATTGTAATAAAGGGCTAAAATGAAAGACAGCCCTCTCCCCGACTCCCCCTTTGCAAAGTGTTAGAGAAAGTAACACTGTCAAACCATATCTTATTTCACTGTGTCAGAAGCGGCCAAATGTT